AAAGGAAAAATTGAAATCGCATCATATGACCCCTTTAAAGCAGCTCTGCAGATGAAAGTAGTATCATTATTCAGCTCAATTCAGTTCAGTGTTGATTCAGTTCAATGCCATAACATTATCAATGTTGCAAAATTCATGATGACTTCCATTTCACCTGTAAAACAGCTTTACTGAAGACAATAGTGTCAGTATCCAGCTTAATTTAGTTCAGTGTCAGTACAGTCAAATTGATAATGTCTTCTGAATAGTAATTGTCTTTTAAGCATGTGTGAGGTTAACAGGTAATTAACTGACTGATATCCTCAGTCTTTTGCTGTACAGACCTGCGCAGCTATTGCTGTCCAACGGCGGACTGATAGTCTAGTTTGGCTTCAGCTGTCACTTCCTTCCAAATGAAGGACGGCAAGGAGAACTCTAACACCACTGCTGGAAGTTTTGCCACAAATCTGGACCACACAAAACCATGCTGGTACTGGGACAAGAAGGACCTGGCCCACACCCCGTCCCAGTCCGATGGCATGGATCCAGCCACAGAAGCCCGGTACAGACGAGAGGGAGCCCGGTTCATATTCGACGTCGGGACACGTCTGGGACTGTATCCTTTTAATACTGCCATGTATACATATACATAGTTTCAGTTCTGTGTAGGAATGGTTTTGAAATATTGAGAGGATTCTGATATTCTCCTTAACCAATTTTTAAGACATTATGACACTCTGGCAACTGGAATAACATACTTTCATCGTTTTTACATGTTTCATTCATTCAAACAGTTTCCCAGATATGTAAGTGTTTATGCTCTTGACAATCTGATACTTTTTTACATTTGATGCATTTTGGCAGATTATTTAATCCGTAGCATTTTCTTTCCATCCTACCATATAATGCCTAATAGCTTACAGTGTTTATAGGCAAAGTACTGCTTTGGGGTAATTTATCATTTATTTATTCTAATATGTGACCCTGGAGCACAAAACCAGTCTTAAGTCGCTGGGGTATATTTGTAGCAATAGCCAAAAATACATTGTATGGGTCAAAATTATTGATTTTTCTTTTATGCCAAAAATCATTAGGATATTAAGTAAAGACCATGTTCCATGAAGATATTTTGTAAATTTCCTACTGTAAATATATCAAAACTTAATTTTTGATTAGTAATATGCATTGCTAAGAACTTCATTCGGACAACTTTAAAGGCGATTTTCTCAATATTTAGATTTTT